GCTGCCGGAGACCTCCGCTGCTGTTCTGTTTTTCTCTTCAAGTCACAGGAAATGCTCTTGTGTTTAGAGAGGGCCTAGGAATTATCTGGGGCTTGGAAGAGGGTCCTTCAGAAGGTTTTAAGATGATCATTCTATTGTGAAAATCTCATCCTTCCCTTTGTTTTTCCTAATCAGAATCTTCACCAAGAAGCTTCTAAGTCCCTTTTGCTTCAAGTCAAAGAAAATATTTCTCTAAATTATAAAGTGTAGAATTCAGAGAAGTGTTTTTCCCTTTCTGAAATTATATCTGGACAACATAAAAGTAGTAATTAGGGCAGTTTTTAAAGCGATGTCTCTACTTTAACGGGCGGTTTTAGGTTTAGGATTGCTGGGTTTGATATGTGCTCAAGGTAATTCATTCATCATTTTACAATAAACTTGAAATATGCTCTGTCTATTTTAAGTCACTCTCCTGTTGGTCTTATTATCTGTGACATCATACCAAATATGGTTACTTTTTCTTTAGATGTCCATCGTGCTTTTATAACCTAATGAACCTGTTTTGTGAGCTGACATGTAGCCCTCGACAAAGTCAGTTTCTAAACGTTACAGAAACTGAAGATTATCTTGATCCTGTTACAAACCTGACGAAAACAAACGTAAAAGAATTACAGTACTATGTTGGAGAGAGTTTTGCCAATGGTAAGTAAACTTTTAATTACTCCTCTTTTACAGCTGATATCAGGGCAGTGGGTGAAGTTGTTCCTTTTATAGTCCTGTCAACTGTGTGCAAGTGACAATTTTTAGTTCCATTGGCTGTGAAATATGAATTATTTTTTTGCTTGTATCCTACGACTTGAACTACAACCTGTAAAAGTCTCCTTAAAGAAGAGATTTGCTTTAACTTCTTCCTAACTAAGATTCCATGTGGGGATTTTTAGTGTGTGCCATTTCACTTCTGTCCATTTTAGAACCCAGTGGAGCTGTGGTTCTGTGGGACCTGAATTGTGGAACTTGCATGAATTACTACAAGACTGAGGAGAGAGGGTGGAAGGGTCCTGGGTGGCCAAGGTGAGGAGATTTTGACTCTGAAGAAACAGATCACTGTAAGAGAAAGGAAGCAGGTATAACAAACAAGGAAGAGGGTACCTCAACTACTAGAAATAATAGAACAACCTGAAAAAGACCACATGATGTTTGTCGAAAATCACTGAAATGAGTTATGAAAGAGTAAGATACTAGGGGCAAAGAATGAACATATTAGAAATAGAACCAACTGAATCTACTATGAGAACAGTCATCTAAATAGACTAAAAGACAAGCAGCAGACCAGACACAGCTAAACAAAGAATGTGCCCAGGTATAATCGACAAGAGTAAGAATGTGACAAAGTTGTTGATTAGAAGAGGAACATACAATTTTAATTGTAATGATCAATTTAGGAAAAAATTTAATAGGTAAAAGGTCCTGTTCACAAAAGCAACAAAAAGTAAGAGACCTAGGAATCAGTTTGCCATATGATGTGACATAACAGACAACCTGGTGGACAGAGAGATCATTCTGTCTAGAAACACAACCATGCACGTGAAAGTTTGGTACCACCTGCCGGGAGTGTTGTTCTAAACCGTGAAGGGAAGGGTGGGTTCATTGATAGATGGAGTGAAAAAACTGATTATTCTGTTCATCTAATGTATGTTTCCCCATATTATACTAAAAATGTATAGATTAAAAATACTGATTTTGGGAATTTTAAAAAATATATATAGAATGTCTTTATGACTTTAAGGTGAGAGGGAAGCATTTTAGACAAGAGGAAAAGCAGAAACCATAAGTGAAAAGTTTCATAAATATGAATGATTGCCCTGGCTGGCATGGGTCAGTGGATTGAGCATTGGCCTATGAACCAAAAGGTTGCCGATTCGATTTGGTCAGGGCCCGTGCCTGGGTGGTGGGCCAGGTCCGCACTTGGGGGTGTGCAAGAGGCAACCAATCGAAGTTTTTCTCTCTCTTTCTCCTTCCCTTCCCCTCCTCCTCTCTCTGAAAACAAATAAGTGCAATCTTTAAAAATAAATAAAATAAATATAAATGGTTAGTATCTAGAGCAATCAGTGAAATGTAGATTAAAACAGTAAGCTACCATTTGATATATAAGATTGTCACAAATTATAAAATTACTCAATTCCAAATATGGGTGAGGATGTAGAGCAATAGGAATGCCAATAACTTGGTGCAAGTGTTTGAAAACCATCTGAAAAGTAATTTCTCAATGCCTGGCAAAGTTAAAGGTAAACGTACCCTCATCCCAGAAGTGCCGCAGCAGAATTCTTAGTGTATGTAAACAGGAGAGCCGTGTAAGAATATTCGTTGTAGCATTTCTGTGATTGTGAAAAATTGAAGACATAAGAGAATGAGAGACAGACAAAGAGTGGGAGAAAATATTTGCAAAACACCTATTTCATAAAGGGCTATTACCCAAAGTATAGGAAGAACTTAAAACTCAACAATAAGAAAGAGAACAATGTGATTGAAAAATGGACAAAAGACCTGAACAGACACCTATCAAAGAAGATATATGCATAGCAAATAAGCAAATGAAAAGATGCCCCACATCATATGTCATTAGGGAATTCCAAATTAAGACAACAATAAGATGTGACAACAATAAGATGTGACAACACACTATTTCATGGCCGGAACCCAGAACACCGACAGCACCACGTGCTGGCAAGCCTGTGGAGCCCCGGGAGCCTCTCACACGTTGCAGGTGAGAATGTGTAATAGTACAGCCACTCTGGAAAACTGTTTGGTAGTTTCTTAGAAAATTAAAAATACTGTTACGTCTGATCCAGCAATCATGTTCCTTGGTATTTACCCTGAAGCGTTGAAAATGCATGTCCACACGAAAACCTGCACATGGACATTTATAGAAGCTGTATTCATAATTGCCAGAACTTGGAAGAAACCCAGGTGTCCCCCAGTAGGTGAATGGAGAAACTGTGGCACATCCAGATAGTGGGATATTCTTCAGCACTAAAAGGAAGTACAGACATGGAGGCACCTTAGATTCATATTACTAAGTGAAGGAAGCTAACCTAAAAAGGCTACGTATTGTACGATTCCAACTGCATGTGACACTCTGTAAAAGTCAGAACTATGGAGACAGTAGAAGGTTCAGTGGTAGCCGGGGGGCGGGGGAGAGAGGGATGACAAGGAGGAGCTCTGGGGCTCTTGAGGGCCCTGAAACTACTGTTTCGTGTTGTAGTGGTGGATACGTGCAATTATACACTCTCCAGAACCCGTGGAATGCATTGTACAACACCCGGAGGGAATGCCAGTGTACGCCATGGACTCTGGGTGACAGTACTGTGTCAGCGCAGGTTCAGCACGAGTAACAAATGTCCCACTTTGGTGTGGTTGATAGTGGGGTGGCGGTGCTCATGTGTAGGCAGGGGTCATACGGGAGCCCAGTACTTTCTGCTCGTTTCACTGTGAACCTAAAATTGCTCTAAATAATAAAGTCCTTTTTTAAAAAACAAATGAAAATATCAGAGACACTAAATGCTAATTAAGAGAATGGATAATATATTGGAGTTTAGTTGTAGTCTATAATGGAATACTTAAAACTGTTCAAAAATATGAGAGTTACGGCAGTCACATGAATGACTTAAAAATACTGACTGAAAATGTTATAGAACAGTACTACAGTACTGTTACATTAATCAGTACTACATATTTATTGATATAATGTGGCATAAAAGGACACAAACGTGCATGGGAAAGGTAAACATCAAATTCAGGATTGTGGTTACCCTGCGGAAGGAATGATAATCGTAGGGAGGGATAGTCGGAAGGCTTCAGTTGTATGTATAGTGTTTTGTTTGTTTTTTCACTGTTGAAGCAAATGCTATAAAATAGATTGATAGAGTGGGGGAGTGAGTAAGTGGGAATTGTATTCTCCACATTTTCTGTGTGCTTGAAGTGTTTAATAAAAACCTAAAAACCAAATGGTAAGCTGGGAGATGTGATAGAATCACCCAGAAAACAGGGTTATAAAGATCATTCAAGAAGTGAAACGTGGGCCCTAGCTGGCGGGGCTCAGTGGATTGAGTGCCAGCCTATGAACTGAAAGGTCACCAGTTTGATTCCCAGGCAAGGCAATGTCTGGGTTGCGGGCCAGGTCCTTGCTGGGGGCATTCAAGAGGCAACCAATGGGAACATTATTGTTTTTCTCCCTCTCTTCCCCTGTCTCTAAAAAAAAAAGTAAGTAAATCTTTAAAAAAAATTTTTTTTAAAGTGACATGGGGTAAAGTGAGGAACTCCAGAAAAAGACAAGAAAGATAATTGGGGAGAGACAATAAGCAAAAGGGTAATAGCTGAGGATTTTCCAGAATGGATGAGAGGTGAATCCTAGGACTTAGGAAAAGAAAATGGCCTGGCTGGTACACCTCAGTGGATCGAGCACAGGCCTGCAAGCCAAAGGGTCACTAGTTGGATTCCCAGTCAGGGCACATGCCTGGGTTGCAAGCCAGGTCCCTGGTAGGGGGCGGGAGAGAGGCAACCACACATTGATGTTTCTCTCCCTCTCTGTCTCCCTCCCTTCCCCTCTCTCTAAAAATAAACAAAATCTTAAAAAATAAAATAACAACAACAACAAATAATTCCATTTATAATAGTATCAAAAAGAATGAAATGCTTAGGAGTAAATTTTAACAAGAGAAGTACAAAACTTATACTCTTTAAAATTATAAAACATTATTTAAAGAAATTAAAAAGGATCTTAAAAATGGAATGCCATCCCATCTTCTTGGCTCAGAAGACTTAATATTGTTAAGATGGCAGTACCACCCAAATCGATCTGCATATTCAGTATAGTCCCTATCAGAATCCCAACTGACTTTTATGTAGAAATCGATTCTGAGTCGAGCCTGGTGCCCAGCGCTGGGAGCTCAGCAGGCGGTGGCGGCCTGATCTCCAGGGCAGCCTGCTTCCTCCAGGTCTCTCCTTCCTTCCCCAAGGTCAGCATGAAAGCTTTCAGTCCCATGAGGTCCGTTAGGAAAAACAACCTTTCAGACCACAGCCTGGGCATCTCCCGGAGCAAAACCCCAGTGGATGACCCAATGAGCCTGCTCTACAACAGGAACGACTGCTATTCCAAGCTCAGGATGCTGGTGCCCAGCATCCCCCAGAACAAGAGGGTGAGCAAGACGGAAATCCTGCAGCATGTCATCGATTACGTCTTGGACCTGCAGATCGCCCTGGACTCGCACCCTACCATTGTCAGCCTGCACCACCCGCGCCCCGGCCAGAGCCAGGCATCCAGGACGCCGCTGACCACCCTGAACACGGACATCAGCATCCTGTCCTTGCAGGCTTCTGAATTCCCTTCTGAGTTCATGTCAAATGACAGCAAAGCACTCTGTGGCTGAGTAAATGGTGTTCATGACTTTCCCCCCTTTGCACAACAACAAATCCACAGGAACTTATTTTTCAACCATTTCACAAGGAGAACAACAAGTTGAATGGACCTTTTTAAAAAATGGAAGCAGAACTAAGAAGGATCAGATCCTCCTCCCCAGGGAGTTTCTGACCTGGCTGGACTATGATAGTTATTTATGAAAAAGACTTTTAATGCTCTTTCTGCAGTTGGAAGGTTTTCTTTATATACTGTTCCCACCATGGGGAGTGAAAACGTGAAAATCACAATGAATTATCCAGTTTTAGCAGACTGCCTTTGACAAAGGTGGAGCTCGAATACCAGAAGGATCCAGTATTCAGTTACTTAATGAAGTCTTTCAGTCAGAAATGACCTTTTGGATGCAAGCCTGCTGAATGCTGTGTATATATTTATATATAAATATATATATATTGAGTGAAACCCTGTGAACTCTTTAATTAGAGTTTTCTTCTATAGCGGTAGAGATGTCTATTTCTGCATACAAAGTGTAATGATGTACTTATGCTAAACTTTTTATAAAAGTTTAGTTGTAAACTTAACCTTTTATACGGAATAAATCAAGTGTGTTTAAAAAGAAAGAAAGAAAGAAAGAAAGAGATCGACAGGCTGATTGTAAAATTCACATGGACTTGCAAGGGACCAGGACTAGCTAAAACTATTGTGAAAAAGGATTAAATAGGAGGCCTCACACATTCCAGCTTCAGATTTTATTACCAACCAATGAATATCAAAACAGTTTGGTACTGGAATAAGAGTAAATATATAGAACAATGAGATAGAATTGAAAATACAATTCACCGTGAACAAGGCAGTTTTGAACTGCGTGGGTCCACTTATATGTGGATTTTTTCCATTAACCCAATTAACCCTTAATTGACTGCAGTTCAGTTGATTGTTGCAATTCAAGTTCATGTTGTTCGGGGGTCAGCTCTGCAGTTGAGAATCCACACAGTTAGAGGGCCAACTGTGTGGGAGGTGCCAGCAAATCCTATACTGTTCAGGAGTCAACTGTAAACCCGTGTCTGTGGTCATCTGATTTTTGACAAGGTTGCCAAGACCATTCAATGGGGAAAGAATAGTCTTTCAACAAGCGGTGTTTGAACAACTGGATAGCCACGTGTAGGAGAATTAAGTTGGAGCCCTAGCTAGTGTAGCTCAGTTGGTTGGAACATTGTCCTGTAAACTGGAAGGTCACAAGTTCAATTCCAGGTCAAGGCATATACCTAGGTTGTGGGTTCAGTCCCAAGTAAGGGCGCATACAAGAGGCAACTGATCAGTGTTTCTCTTTCACATTGATGTTTCCTTCTCTCTCTCCTTGCCTTTCCCTCTCTCTAAAATCAGTAAGTATGTCTTTGGGCGAGGATAAAAAAAACAAAATGAAGCTGGACAGTTACCTCATAGCATATACAAAAATTAACTTAAAATTGATCAAAGGCCTATATGTAAGAGCTAAAACTAGAAAAATCTCAAAAGAAAACAAGGATAACTCTTCATGACCTCAGATTTGGCAATACAGTCTTGAATGTGACACCAAAAATGTGGCAACAAAAAAAACTAAAGTAAAAACCTTTTGTGCTTCAAAGGACACCATCAAGAAAAGGCAAAAATATATGCAAATCATGTATTTAATAAGGGACTTGTATCTAGAATGTATATAGAACTCTAACAACCCAGTAATAAATAGAAAGCAAATAAAAAATGGGTAAAAGATATAAACAGACATTTCTCCAAGGACAAATGGCCAATAAGCTTATGAAAAGATGCTTGAAATCATTAGGCATCCAAAAGTGCAAATCAAAACCGTGATGAGATGCCACATCCCACCCGCCAGGAAGGCTGGAATCAACAAGTCAGTAACAACAAGTGTGGACAAGGATGTAGGGAAGTCTGAACCTTCCTCTGCTGCTGGTGGGGATGCAAAATGGTGCAGTCACTTTGGAAAACAGTCTGGCAGTTTCTGAAACAATTATACACAGTTACCATATGACCCAGCAATTCCACAAGAGAAATGAAAACATGTCTGCACAAAAGCTGTACATAAATATTTATAGCAGCATTATTCATGATAGCCAAAAGTGGAAAAACCCAGATATCCATCAACTGATACATAAACAAAATGTGGTGTGTTCTCATGACAGAGTATCATTTGGACCTGAAAGGGAATGCAGTGCTGACACACACTGCAGCGTGGATGGGCTGTGAAAGAAGGCAGTCACAAAAGACTGCCAGTACATACTGCATGATTCCGTGTGTATGAAGTGTCCGGAATAGGCAAATCTATAGAGACAGAAGTAGATTAGTGGTTGCTTAGGGCCTAGTGGGGCAGAAGGAAATAAGGGACCATTAGCTAAAGGGTTCAGGGTTTCTTATTTTAAGGTGATAAGAATGCAAAGGTTCTGAGTTCTAAAATTAACTGTGGTAATGGTTGTACATATCTGTAAATAAGCTAAAATCCATTAAATTCCAATTTTAAATGATGAATTATATGGTCTCTGAATTACATTTCAGTAAAGCTATTTTTAAAAGAAACCTATATCTAAAAATAGTTTAAAGAAACTGTAAAACTCCAAAGACAAAGATCTTAAAAGCAGGTACAAAAAAATACAAATCACAAGATTTGTAATACAAATTACAAAAGAATGACAATTGCAAATTTTCTCACCAGCAACAGTGGAGGCCAGAAGACAATGGAATAATCACAGTTCTAAAGAAAATAACTGTCACTCTAGTTCAGTTGTCTTTCAAGAGTAAGGGTAAGCCCTGGCATGTGTGGCTCAGTGGATTGAGTGCCTGCTGGCCTGTGAACCAAAGGGTCGCTGGTTCAATTCCCAGTCAGGGCACATGCCTGGCTTGCAGGCCAGGTCCCCAGTAGGGAGCATGCAAGAGGCAACCACACATTGATGTTTCTCTTCCTTTCTTTCCCGCTCCCCTCTCTCCAAAAATAAATAAATAAAATCTTAAAAAAAGTTTTTTTAAAAAGAGTGGGGTGAAACACAATAATTTTATAGGTATCTCCTTTAGGAGAAGAAGATCCTGGGAAGTTTCTAACAAGTAGGGGCTAGTAAATAAATGTTAACATAGGACCCATTACCACTACTTCCTTCTGTGTAAAATGCCATGGACATTATTATCCTCATTTAGTGCACTGTCTTTCTTTATGTGTACTAAAATAAAACAGAAAGAGGAGTAGTGGGTTCATTCTCATGTGACCTCTGCCCTGAAACCAGTTCTCTCTGTAAGTTCCCTTCATTCTCCAGCTGTATAGTTTCCTGCCACCGAAGTTTTCTGGAACCAGCTTTGTTCTCTGAACAGGCACTAAGGTTCTTAGCTTCTCCTTCCTCAGTCTTAGTACAGTAGGAGTAATACTTCTCCCAGATGTTGTGGGCTACACGGGATAACATAAGCCTTTCCCACCTATTTCTTATGTTTGTTGCTTGGAGTCTGGCCTAGTCGTCATGATAAGCTGGTTTCAGGGGTAATCTCCTTTTCCGCCCTTAGTGTCCCCTGTCCCCCCATTCCTGTCCCTAACTGCTGATTGCACTGCATGGGGGTCTCTGAGTTCACATACGAGAGGCCTTTGTGACATCTCTCCCAGCGAATTAAAGCAGTGTGATGTTTCCGTCCTCTCCCCTGCTAGCGATGTACAATGCCTGCAGGGACGTGGAGGCCCCCTCCAGTAACGACAAAGCCCTGGGACTCCTGTGTGGGAGGGATGCCGAGGCCTGCAACGCCACCAACTGGATCGAGTACATGTTCAATAAGAACAACGGCCAGGCACCTTTCACCATCACCCCCATTTTTTCAGGTAGGTGCAGGGACTCCCGGGGGTGTGTATTTGTCCTGTTTTTTAAAGCCCAGGAGCCTTCAACTGCCATATGAAGATAAATTCAGGTAACTAGCTCCTGGAACGTCCCTCCAGTGAGAGAGGTGAGTAGAGCCTTTATCCGGCCCCTGGTTAATTTAGGGTCTAGGAATGGGAATAGAGGAGGGAGAAGAATTGCCTTCAGCTATTGCCACATTGTCAAAAGAATAATCTGGGTTTTTTATTTAAAAAGTAGAAGGCCAAACGTCGTTACAAAAGCCTTTTTAGGAACTCTGAAATAGTGTAAGACTAGTTCCTCAATAAAAAAATGACACGATTGAAGCTTTTCCTCGTCAAGGGATGTTCCCAAACCTCAGTGACAAAACCTAGCTGTGCTCAGTTACTGAGGTCACTTAAAATTTTACAGGGTTAAGTGGCAACACATCATTTGATCGAATAGAAACCTCCAGGCCTATTGACTCTTCCAGTCATGTTCTGCATCTCCTTGTGCTTATCACTGGATTTGAATGTGATTCAGTACAAACTTAGTGTTTTCTACATCGAGACATTCACTCAGCACAATCCCCACTGCAGATCTCCCCACCCACGGGATGGAGCCCATGAACAATGCCACCAAGGGCTGTGCCGAGGCCGTGGACGAGGTCACCGGGCCCTGCAGCTGCCAGGACTGCTCAGCCGTGTGCGGCCCCAAGCCCCAGCCCCCGCCCCTGCCCCTTCCCTGGAGAATCTGGGGCCTGGACGCCATGTATGTTGTCATGTGGCTCACCTACATGGCGTTTCTGCTCGTGTTTTTTGGAGCATTTTTTGCCGTGTGGTGCTACAGGTAAGCTATTTTGTTTGTCCTTCAGAGTAAGAAGGAAAATATTACTCAAGTTGCACTTCCAGTTTTTACTTGGCAGACCTTGGTTAATTAGAACAGGAAACAATTATCTGTATTAAAGCCATTTCATAAATTGCTTATGTCCTGCAACTAGTAAATAATCAAAGCCCTGTTCTGACATTGAAACATTTAAAGTTGGTTTCATTGATTTATTCAAAATGATGTGAATTAAAGGGCCATGTAGTAACCACCCACTCTTTGACAGAAAGTCTGAGGGGCCAAGTATGGTTCAAGTCTATTGAAATGCAATACTAGGGCCCCTGTAGATCTTGATGTAGGACGGTCTATTTTATTTAACTTTTTATTTTAAAATAGTTTGAGACTTAACAAAAAGGTACAGAAATAGTTGTACATGTAATACTTAATGTATATGTGTTGGATAAATATATGAGGTCTGTCCAGAAAGTATCCAGCCATGTAATATGGAAAATAGAGACGTTAATTGAAGAAGATGAAAGAAGCATTGTATGT